AGTGCTCACTTAGGATGCTGCTGTCACACAGGCAGCAGCTTCATGCACTGCACCACAACACCAGCCCCAGATATGCTTATTTTTTGAAAAGATTTATTTACTTATTTGAAAGTCAGAGTTACACAGAGAAAGGAGAGGGAGAGAGGGAGAGAGGGAGAGAGGGAGAGAGAGAGAGAGAGAGAGAGAGAGAGAGGTCTTCCATCCATTGGTTCACTCCTTAATTGGCCGCAATGGCCAGAGTTGCACCGATCCAAAGCCAGGAGCCAGGAGCTTCTTCCAGGTCTCCCATGCGGGTGCAGAGGCCCAAGCACTCAGGCCATCTTCTACTGTTTTCCCAGGCCATAGGAGAGAGCTGGATCAGAAGAGGAGCAGCCGGGACTAGAACCAGCACCCATATGGGATGCCGGCGCTTCAGGCCAGGGCGTTAACCTGCTACTCCACAGTTTCAGCCCCAAGTTATGCTTATCTTTTATTTATTTTTAAAAATTTTTTTTGACAGAGTGGACAGTGAGAGAGAGAGACAAAGGTCCTCCCTTTCGGGGGGTTCACCCTCCAGGTTCCAGTGCCGGTCGGGGCACCGGATTGTGTCCCGGTTGCCCCTCTTCCAGGCCAGCTGTCTGCTGTGGCCCAGGAGTGCAGTGGAGGATGGCCCAAGTCCTTAAAAATAGCAGGGCCTGTGCTGTGGCACAGTGGGTTAATCCTCTGCCTGAGGCACAGGCATCCCATACCAGCGCCGGTTCAAGTCCCATCTGCTCTGCTTCCGATCCAGCTCTCTGCTATGGTCTGAGAAAGCAGTGGAAGATGGCCCAAGTCCTTGGACCCCTGCACCCGCGTGGGAGACATGGAGGAAGCTCCTGGTACCTGGCTTCAGATTGATCCTGCTCCAGTTGTTGCAGCCATTTGGGGAGTGAAACAGCTGATAGAAGACCTTTCTCTCTGTCTCTCCCTCTCACTGTAATTCTCTCTCTCAAGTAACTAAATAAAATCTTAAAAAAAAAATAGGAATAGCAACATGCAGAGAAGTTGTAAGAACGAGTGGCATTGTGCTGTTGTGGTAAAGAAACGGGGCTTCCCAGCAAATGAGAAGCTCTCCCAAGGCCATTTCTTTTTTATATTTCATTTATTTTAAAGGCAGAGGGGGCTGGCGCTGTGGCTCAGTAGGTTAACCCTCCACCTGTGGTGCCGGCATCCCATATGGGTACCAGTTCTGGTCCCAGCTGCTCCTCTTCAGATCCAGCTCTCTGCTATGGCCTGGGAAAGCAGTAGAACATGGCCCAAGTGCTTGGCCCCTGCACCTGCATGGGAGACTGGGAAGAAGCTCCTGGCTCCTGGCTTTAGATCAGCACATCTCTGGACATTGTAGCCATTTACAGTGTAAACTAGTGGACAGAAGACCTTTCTCTCTGTCTCTCCCTTTCACTGTCTGTAACTCTCTCTCTTAAATAAATAAATAAAATCTTAAAAAAAAAGGCAGAGAGAAAGAGAGAGACAGAGGGATCTTCCATCCACTGATTCACTCCCCAAATAGCCACAACAGCCAGGGCTGGTCCAAGCCAAAGGTGGAGCCAAGAATTCCATCCACGTTTCCCACATGGGTGGGAGGGGTCCAAGTGCAGGTGCATTAGCAGGGAGCCAGGTTGGAAGCAGAGCAACTGGGACTTGAACCGGTGCTCATTTAGGATGCTGGCCTAGAAGACAGCATCTTAACCAGCTTCCCCACAATGCCGGGCCCCCTGGTCATTCGCTAATGTTTCTTTATCAAGGCGGAAGGCATCAGCCTCTTCCTGACTGCTGAGCTGCTGGGGCCCAGGATCTGACTTCATCACAGGCCAGACTTAGAAAATCAAGACGTGGGGTGGGGGTGGCAGGGGCCGATCCACATGCTGTGGGCTTGGACCGCCCTGCTTGGTGCTCGTGGTGTTCACCAAGTCGTTCCAGGTCCCCCATGTCTTGGCCCTAGGATTGCTCTTCCCTGGCCCCTGGTGGTTGGTGGAGCCCTGTGCTTAATTCTGGAGACTGAGTTGTGACCTGATGGCTGCCGAGTCACCTTTGGCTGTGAGCTCTTAGCTGCCTGGGGAAGATCCTCTAGAGCCCTTTGTATTTTTCCCCTCCTGGGTGGTGACTGACAGCATTTGAGATGGCGGCTGCTCTATCAGCCTAGACCCCTGAATGTTTACAATGAAAAGAGCCCTCTTGTTTATCACAGTCCCCATGTGGACAGTGAGATGGTTGTTCTAAGCCCTGAGATTTCAGAGCTGTTATCATAGAATATTCTAGCTGATCCTGAATAATACCATACTATACAGCACCCCGTCCCACAAGCTGCCTGTCAAGAACCAGAATAACAATCATTATCATTGTTGGTATTATATATATTTTTAAAAGATTTATTTATTTGTTTATTTATTTATTTGAAAGGCAGAGTTACAGAGAGAGAGGGAAAGGTCTTCCAGCCACTGGTTCACTCACTCCAGCTGCAACAGCTGGAGCTGGGCCAATCTGAAGTCAGGAGCCAGGAGCTTCTTCTGGTCTCCCATGCGGGTGCAGGGGCCCAAGCACTTGGGCCATCTTCCGCTGCTTTTCCAGACTATAGCAGAGAATTGGATCAGAAGTGGAGCAGCCAGGACTCAAACTGGCACCCATGTGGGATGCTGGCACTGCAGGCAGTGGCTTTACCCACTATGCCACAGCGTCAGCTCCAGTATTATATTTTTATAAAGGTATTAGTGCTATGCTTCTTGTGTGTCCCGGGCATGCACTACCCAGCACATGCAATGTCTCAACCATTACAACCACCCAGGAGCCAGACAGCATTAGCTCATGACCAAGATGAGAAAACCAAAGCTTGGAAACCAGCAAAGATTTCCTTTGCTGCTGTTGATTATTGCAGGTGTTGTTCATTTTCTGATTCTCTGTTACTTATATATTGTCCATGAGATGAATTCTCTGGCACTCATAACAAGAACCTTCTCAACATGCATCAAGCACCAAGCACGGTTAGAACACTTATACGTTTCGCTGCACACATTACTATTCTCTAGAACAGGCTATTAGTAGTGTAGACTGCCTGAAACCTATGAGAGATCTTCAAAAAGTTCATGAGGCACACATATTATGGAAAAGTAAAGCACACGTGTTTACTTCACACAGTTTGTGCACCAAAATAAGCTGGTCTTTTAACTCTATTTCCCATGACCTTTTGGAAATGCCCTGTTTATATATCTCATGCATATGAATTACCAACGAGTTTGACTCCTGAACGCTAGTGGGTTTCCTTCTGGTGGTGGTGAGAGTTCCTGGTCCTGTGGCCCCTTTGGCCTTGGTGGCCACAGTTGCCTCCTTCAGGCAGGGTTGAGTTCCCACCTATTGTAATGATGTGTCTCTCCTGTCTTCAATTCTAACCCCCTTGGGCGGTCTTGTGGCCTAGCTGCCTGAGACCTTGGCATCCCATATGGGTGCTGGTTCAAGTCCTGGCTTCTCCTCTTCTGATCCAGCTCCCTGTTAACGGCCTGGGAAAGCAGTGGAAGATGGTGCAACTGCTTGGGTCCCTGTCACTCACGTGGGAGACCCAGATGGAGTTTCAGGCTCCTGGCATCGGCCTGGCCCAACCCTCGGTCACTGTGGCATTTGGGGAGTAAACCAGCAGGTGGAAGAACTCTCTCTCTCCCTCTTGTTCTGTAACTCTTTCAAGTAAATAAATAAATCCTTAAAAAAAAAAAATCACA